TCCTGCCACAGGGGTAACATATCAAATACCCTGTGATCAGATACTCACATTATGACTCAGAACAGTAGCAAAATTAATTACAAAGTAGAAGCAAAATAATTTTATGGTTAGGGGGTCACCATAACACGAGGTCACAGCATTAGGAAGGTTGAGAACCACTGGCTAACAAGGACAGCCAGCAGCCTGCCTTGTTTGCCGGTCACTGTTTCATGCCCCAGATCTTGACCACTGAGGTCACTTCCTCAGCCCTTAGGACTGAACTTAGATATCTCATGTTGCCTTAAACCCCGCATGTTTCCTAGAGTCTCTTAATACTCACTAGAAGCCTGATGGCTCCACCTTCAAAACAATGAAGACCTGACCTCTTGGGTAGTCCTCACCCTTCTCTGGGCCTGGTATTTCTCAACCACCCAGGGCACTCACTGCCTGTCTGCTTCCAAAGGGCCAGTATCCCAACAGCAGGGACTTTACTATCTGGCCACTGGAGGCTCCATAGGTCTTATACTCACTGTCCCTGAGACAATGTGAAGGTGGTACCCTCACTACTTCAAAATGCCCTTTTGGCTTTTGGACCTTGCCCCCCTCTTCCTGGCTCTGGCCACTCCCACCTTTTGAATCTTTCCAGGTAACTACAGTATCTTGTCTATAGGACTGTACCTCCATTGACAGGCCCCTCAGCTCACAAATGCTGCTGCCCACCCACAGGCAGGGTTCTTCTCTGGATGAGCCTTTGGATGTGCTCAGACTAAAGGGTGAACCAGGTCCAAGGGCCAGTGGCTCAGGACCCTCCCCAAGTCCAACCCCAGGCTGTAAGATGCTGGGGTTCAGGGTGATAAGTCACAGGACCATCCCAACTGCTGATGTGTGTGTAGTGGCTCTGAGCTCAGGGCCCTTCTTGGGCAGCTCAGTCTCCTGGGTCTGAGCACTAGACTGGCCCAAACCAGTTACACCAGTGCCCGCTCCTGCAGGCCCCAGTGCCAAGTCCACTTCCTCCTCCCACCTGTTGCCCAGGCTTCAGAGATGAGCATGGTTAGGGGAACAAGCTCCCAGGAGACAGGAGACAGAGAGACCCCTATGTGGACTTGACTTCCATCAAGGAGGGCGAGAGTAAAGTTTGGGTGGCTCTTGCCTGCAGCAAGGTCAGGTGCAGACTAGATTTGTCATGCTGGTGGGATTTGGGGTGTAGGGAGAATGTTCAGGTTGCCCGTTGGGGAGGAACCCTTCCCCATGGGACACGTGGATCCTAGCGCTCTATGGGAATGAGAGGTGACTGCAAATGGGTTAAATACCCAAGCCTCCATGCCCTCACAAATGCATAGGGGACAATCACACTCACAGCTGTATGAATCCTGGAGGTCTACCTGACTATGGATGTGGCTAGTCACATCTGGTGGGACAAAGACAGACTCCTCAGCTATCAGGAAGCTGAGAGAATATCCTGGAAGGTGTGGCAGAGGAGAAGGCCATCTTGGGGGCTGCTGGGAGGGAAAAGGGAGGGAGTGGTGTCTTCTGATTTAGCCACTGGAGTGCAGAAGTGCAGGTGAGGATAAAGGGGCTATGCAAGGGGCTGGATGGGACAGCCTGCTGGTGGAAACTGTGTGGCAGTAACTGTACACCAGCAGTGTTGCTCAGTGCCCAAGGGCTAGGTCACCCCTTCAGCACTGGTGAGCTTGGAGAACCCATGAACCCACATCACAGGTGAGGAAACCTGTAGAAGCAAGGGATGTACCCCTACCCCTGGAAGCAGGAGGGTGGCCTTGGGTGTCTCCCTGACAATTGCCTTTCCTTGGGTGCCTGCATCCTGAAAAAGGCTCACCTAGGCTGTTTCTTCTCCCATGAACAGCTACAGTCTGCTTTTGCTGACCCCTCTGTCCTCTCCTCCTTTCCTGTGGTCAATCCATGGAGAAGCCATGGGCTTCTTGCTGGGCTTGAGTTAACTTGCTATTGTAGCTCAGGTCCCTGTCCTCTGCAAGCCACACAGTCCTCAGGTCCTAAACTTGAAAGGTCAGGAGCATCCAGGGCACCCTGGAGGATGTAGCAATTACTATCCTCCACTGGCAGAGATGCTCAGCTGCACATTTGCTCCACAGTCCTTTGGCTCAACAGTTCCCACGGGACCTTCATGTTGCTCAGACCCCCTAGGGAGAGCCTGGTTCGGACTGCATATTGGTGTTTGGTCTTGAGTTTATATTTCCCTCCCACCCACAGGTAGAAATAACCAAGAACCTGTTTTCTGTCCTGACTCCAATGGCCATCTCTGGCCCAGGCACTGTCCTTACTCACTTGGATGGTGCTGAGCCCTCCACCCTCATCTCCTTGCACATACTAATCCCCACTTCTCAGCTCCATAGCTTGACTCTTCCCCTTCCTTGGCCCCTGCAGCCACTTGGCCTTCTTACATCCCTGGACACCATGCTCTGTGCACATTCTGTTTACTTGCCTCCTTCCTGTCTAGCATCCGGTTTCTACTTAAAATCCTGATGCTTACCTATTCATCCCTTCGCCTTCATCCTGGTTTCTTTCTTTCCATATCTCACATAGTTCAATCATCACTATTATTATTGTTTTTTTTTTAATAGACAGGGTTTCTCTGTGTAGTCCTGACTGTTCTGGAGCTCACTCTGTGACCAGGTTGGCCTCAAAACCAGAGATCCATCTGGCTTTGCCTCCCAAACGGTGGGATTAAAGGCATGTGCCACCACCATCCAGCTTCAATCCAACTTTATAACGACTGTGGGAAATGTACTGTCTTTTTTATCAACCAGTTAAATAAGACAAAAATTCATTAAAAAGTATAAAATATCACTGAGGGTGGTGGCATACGCCTTTAATCCCAGCACTCGGGAGGCAGAGGCAGGCGGATCTCTGTGAGTTCAAGACCAGCCTGGTTTACAAGAGCTAGTTCTAGGACAGCCTCCAGACAGAAAAATCCTGTCTTGAAAAACCAAATTTCTCTCTCTCTATCTCTCTCTCTCTCTACACACACACACACACACACAAACACACACACACACACACACACACACACACACACACAGAGAGAGAGAGAGAGAGAGAGAGAGAGAGATTTGGATGTGGTGGTGCATGCCTTTAATCCCAGCACTGATTTGGGAGGCAGAGGCAGACAAATTTCTGTGAGGCTGAAGCCTGGTCTACATAGCAAGTTCTATCAAGTTTCAGGCCAGCCAGGGCTGCATAGTGAGACCCTATTTTAGAAAGAAAGGAAGAAAGGAAGGAAGGAAGAAAGAAAGAAAGAAAGAAAGAAAGAAAGAAAGGGTAAAGAAAAATGGATCGGCTCTGTTGAAAGGCAAATACCTCCAGGGTCATCAGTTCTTGAAATCAAAACAGGTGCTCAAGGTCAGGAACTGTGCTCAAAACTGCTCTGCTTATCGGCTTCACATTGGCCTATCTTATGCACATTAGACCATGCTCTGATCACTGGGGTGTATTAGGAGTAGAAACCTAACTGAACCCCCACTGATTTGCTTGCCCTCTCCTGCAGAAATGAAACTTTTTGCCTTGCTGGCCATTTTCTTTGCTTAGGTGCTTGTTTTCTTAGGACTCCAGACCCATTTCTAACACATCCTAGAGACTTGGACTGCCTTATTCCCGATTGCACCTCAGAAAGTAGAACCCTAGGGGCACTTATTAGATGTCCAATTCACACTCGTGAGCAGACAAGTTCAGGCTTTCATTCACATGTTAAAAGGACATTCAGGGCCATGTCAATGAGCCCTGTCATGTGTCCCTGGAGACCTTCCTGACAAGCTAAATCTGTCTCTACTGCAGAGGACAGACGGGAGCCTACCACAGAGTATCCCAGAATCATGCTGTAATGGGGCCATAGTGTCCATACTTGGAATTCTGAGCTCAGCCATCCATCATCCAGATGCCTCTACTGTCATTGGGTAGGTCTGAGGAAATTTGGGGGAGCCTAGATTATAGGCTCTCAGGAGGGCCTGGCTTGAGGAGGAAGTCAGACCCTGAGAACCTAGGACTGGCATTGTTTATCCAAGATGAAAGAGTCTGGTTGTGACAGACTTGTCCCTCAAATAATACCTCTTAAAGCACAAGGGTTTAGGCACTAGAAAGGCTCTGTCCCGGAGACAGCCTACAGAGAATTGTGTGGATCTTGAGGACACAGGCTCCTCTGAGAAGGACAACATACCCCCTTCTGGATGAGCCACCTGTCCCAGCACCACAGCTGACTTCATGAGTTTTTGATCTGAATGAAGGCAGCTATAGGATGACCCTTAGGATTTTGCTCAGATGGTTTCAGGAAGTTTGGGGCAAGGAGCAAGGGAACATGCTAAGTCCAAGGTGAGGCTTTTCTCCCAAGAGGCCCTCACCTGCTTAAAGATAGCTGGGATTTGTCCCAACTGCAGGGGACAGACAGTGGAGCCTACCCCAGATCATCCTAGAACCATGTACTGGGGAGGTTTTTCCAGGCAGAAAAAGCTGAGTCCCCAGGACAGGGCCAGGTGAAGAGCTCCAGGCTAGGGAGCTGGGTACTAGGTAGAAGGCTAACTCAGCTGATCTCCTCAAGTCTGCAAGCCACTGTCAGAACTTTTAGGGATGAGGAAAAAGGCACACCAGGTGGGCAGCACACCGTCCCTCTTCCTCAAAGGGATTCCGACCATAGCCCCCCTCCCTAGAGTACAGCCACCTCTAGAAACAGCTTGAGTGGGATTGGCTGTAGTAAGAATGAATGTCAGGAGTCCCAGTCTACACATAAATGTCAGGCTTCTTCCTCCTGCCCAGGACAGACGTTTCCAATGCCGCACTTTTGCGCCTTTGGCCGTAATATTGGCGCCCCCTGGTGGCGAAGCCACCAAAATGGTTCCCCCCCCCCATCCTGCAGGTTGGTCCCCAAATGCTTGGCATTTAGGCGGGGAAACCAAGTCTCAGAGAGGTACTCCTGCTGGGTCGATGGTCTGAGGGTGAGCGGCCTGCCCAGTGCCTTCCCGGCTCCCCACCCGGGTCCTCGCCAGGCCACTTACCCGTACGTGGTGCTAAGGGTCCCGCCAAGCAGGGAGCCTAAGATGATTCCGACGCCGAAGCAGAGACCCAGTCGACCCAGGGCCGCAGGCCGTTCTGCGGGAGCTGTCAGATCTGTGATGACCATCTGGGCAGCTGCGGGTCAGAGGGGGCTGAGTTGGACCCGACCCTTCACCATGGAGCGCCCACCCATGGGTTCAGGCCAAGCTCTTCCAACTAGGCCTCGCAGCCCCTCCACCCAGACTGTATCCCCCATAGCCCCTCCACAGCGCCCTCCACCCAGGCCATGCCTCTACAAACCTCTCCATTCTATCTGGCCTGCCCCAGACCAAGCACCATCTCTCCATTGGAGGCCACCGCTCTTATCACTTGCCACCTGCCCCCTACCTGAAGCCACACCCTCATCTATCCCCTCTACCCGCTTCCAGCCAGGCCTACCCACGGGTCGGTCTCTACCTGGAAGAGTGTGCATGAGTGCTGTGGGTAGGCGTGAGGCAAAAAGCAGGAAGACACCAGGCAGGGATGGGATACAGGAGGCCACCAGGAGCAGGTACAGGGCCGAGGCTGCCACGAAGGAGAGCGAGAGTGCTGCCTGTGCCCCGCATTGGTCTGCGAACCTGGGGTAGCAGGGCGAGTCAGTCCCCGGCAGGCAGGGCCCTTCCCTCGTGCCCGCTTGGGGCTGCTGAGAGGCTGGTGAAGGGACACCCAGGGTGTGTGTGGGTATATGGGCTTCTACCTAGGAAGTTGCCTACAGGCCCACCAGCTGGAGTTTGGGCTATCACAATGTGGCACCAAGGATGCTTGGAAGCAGACCAGCCCTCTCCTGCTCCCACTGAACAGGGATGCTGGGAACCAAATTCTGAGTGGTGGTCATGGGTCTTGTGGGTTCTACATCCCTCACACACCATACCTGCCAAACACAGGCCCACCCAGCAGCTGAAGCACTCCAAAGGTTGTCTGAAGGTAGCCAAAGGCAACAGAATCTAGGCCCAGTGTCCGAGACAGATACTGAAATACAAGAAGGATCTGTAGTTAGGCCACCTCAGACAGGTAGGGGTGGGAGGGAGCAGAGGGCAGTGTCATGGGAGAGGAGGCCTTCCCTGGGGACCCTCTTCCTCCTCTGTCAGGTGGACCTTGTAGGAGTCCCTAGCCAAAGACTTCTGGCCCACCCCATCTGCAGGACACACTTCAAGTGGGCCACTCAATATTTTGTCTTCAAAGCTCTATAACATTGTCCTGGCCAGCAAGCAACTGCCCCCAGTTCCCTTAATAACCTCTGAGGTGTGGCCCATTGTTCAGAAAGACAGTCTGCTCTGTGAGTTCCCTCTTGGGGGCTGACTCTCTGACAGAGGGGAGGTGGCAGTGTCCCTATAGAGGACCCAAGCAGTCCTGGGTGGGACCCCAGGATCTTATCCTGTACACTTCAGCTGCTGTCATCCTCTAGGCCTCTGCCTCGTCCCTCCTCCCTTCCTGGTCCACCTGTCTTATTTGATTTTCCAGCCCTATAGGCATCTGTCCCAAGGATAACACTCCTTAAGCTCCCCTCTGCTCTCTTGAGGCTTCCCTGGAGGGCCCGTTCCAACAATGGAACTCTTTCTAGTGCCTTCTCCTCCAGTCCTCACAGCCTTGGGTCCTGGGCCAGGTGCTCCAGGGCTCCCCCACCTGGCCCGAAGCAGTTGCTTTTCTCCCTCCTCCCTCTAGCAGTCAGCCCAGGGAATCCCCAGCAGGCCACCTCTTATTGGGACCTGCCTCAGTGGCTTGTGCTCCAGATTGTCCTGAATCTCATATCTCATCAGTAGTCTCCACCAGCCTCCTTTCACACTTGGGGAGCCTGCTGGAACCACCTCCACCATGAGGATCCCCATACCTCTGTCCCACTGCCTGCATGCCCGCCTCTACCCTGTCCCATGTCTAACATCACCTCTAGCATAGCATGGCTAGAACTAGATACCTGTCCTCCTCAATACGGACTGGGTCCTTGACTGTTGTTCCTTTGATTTGATTTGTTAGTTTTATTTTATGTGTATGGCTGTTTCTGCCTGTGTATAGTCTGTGCATCATGTACCTGTAGTGCCCACAGAGGGCATCATATCCCCTGGAACTACAGTTACAGGTGGTTGTGAGCCTCCGTGTGGGTCCTTTGGAAGAGCAGTCAGTGAGTGCTCTTAGCCATGGACACCTCTAATATTGCTTCTTCATTTCAGGCAGCATCTCTGTCCTCCCAGGATTGGGTCCAAGGTCCCAGTGTCATTCCTGGACTCCTTTCTCTCACCCTCACATGCAAGCTATCTATTAGCAATAGATCTGCCTCCTTTTCGCCTCTCCACAGTTCTGCCTTACCATTCTGGAATCTCTTCAGCACCTGATGGATGTGGCTCTGGGACCTCAAAGCCTCTTCTCTAGCGGCAGGCTCAGCGCCACCCTAGGGCCTTTGCACTGGCAATGCATCTCTGGCTGCCTTCACCCCTTTGTTGTTGTTTTGTTTTGTTTTTTGTTTTTTGTTTTTTTTGAGACAGGGTTTCTCTATGGCTTTGGAGCTTGTCCTGGAACTTGGTCTATAGACCAGGCTGGCCTGGAACTCACAGAGAGCCTCTGCCTCCTGAGTGCTGGGATTAAAGGCATGTGCCACCAACCCCCAGCCACCCCTTTGTTCTTATGTTGCCTTCTTAGCCAAATTTTCTGACTCCAAATCAGCCACGTGCCCTCAGACTCTCGGTGCTCTCACCCTTTCTCACTCCCAACCATTTCTTCTTTCACTGCGCGGTGAAACATTGTCAGTCACCAGCCCTGAGGGCCAGCTGACTGGTCCTTTGTGCTTTGCTGTGTCATAGTCCAGTGTCTGCTCACAGGGATAGGCTGGCCAATCCCAGACTCTCTCTGGGAGCCATTGCAGGTCTCTGTAGGTTGTTCTAAGGCTGAAATATATTCTCCTCCCTGTGCCAACCCTCCTTTTATGAGGAGAAAGGCAAGGCTTCCGAACAGGCTTCTGAATTTCAGGATGAAGCTTGAGGTGGGGACCCTGGCTATCTGTGAGCCAGCAGAGCTCAATTTAGCAGGGGTAACAGAGGGTGGGGGCCCGAGATGGAAGTGTCTACCACTCCCAGAATGATCACAAAGGCCAGGGCTGCCTCTAACCCAGATCACCAGCTGCAGGCAGGGCCAGCTCTGCTCCAGGAAGCAGAGGAGTGGAGGAGGGCCAGGGAAACCAGGATTCACTTCTTGGCCATATCTAACTCTGTTCTCTGAACCTTGGACTTTTGGGTATAATGTGAGCAGGGTTCTGGCTTCAATCAAAATTCCTGTGTGCCTAGGCATCTCAGTTCTGCATAGCCTGGCCTGCTGACCATACTGAGGGCCAGGCCCAAGTACTGAGTGGCACCCACACCTAGCACAGAGCCAGCTTCAACTCAATGTTCCAGCCAGCCTGGCCTTAAGAATCTCTAAGGGAGCATTGAAAGATGGTCTGTGGCCAATGTCATGACTCCACCCAGGCTGGGCAGAAAAAGGAGATGGATAGTTCACCTCTGAGTTCTCCCAGATGGCTGCTGCCCATACACCATGGAACCCTGTGGGCCAGCTCCGTACAGGTTTGTTGAGTGACTAACCAATAGTGAAAAGGTGGGAATAAACCAAAGGTTGTAGGCAGACACCTTGTAGCCAATGGAGACTATTCTGCCCCACCATGCCCCGATTCAGATAGATTCAGAAAGGCTGTGGGATCAAGTCTCTATCCTCATATTTTGGTGGGTAGGAAAGAAACCAATGGGATGGGTAATGTGGAATAGGGCATAAAGTGTGGACACAAGAAAACAGAGGGGATGCCTAGCAGGATGAAGGGATGAACAGACACAAAGGTCAGACAAGACTGGGATTGCATACAGCCCTTTGGGACAGGAGCTGAACGGTGTTGGACATAGGTACCTAGGGGAAGAACAGGGACAGGGGCAGCAAGTGAGGGTGTTACAGGGGGAAGGTACTGCAGAGAGGGCATCTCACAGGCTGGGGTGTCAATGGGTTCAGTTCCTAGGATCCTTAACTAATTCAGCAGGAGGGGTCCAACAGCATAAAGCCCCACTTTGCTCCCTGCCATTGGCCACCAGGAAGGTGGAGCGGGGCCTCGGGTGTAGGGTGTGTGGGTGTTACTCACTGGTAAAATAGAGAATTGCATGAAGAGACAAGTTAACTCCGAGGCAGTCAGCACGTATGTGAGTATGATAATCCCTTGCCGGCGTAGAGCACCCATGCTGCCAGGGAGCTGGCCAGATATCTGGGCAGGTGGGATCTGGAACCCTGGAGGGACTTCAGCCAGAGCAGAGTAAGCCTTGCAGCAGGCAAGGGGCAAAAGTCCTGTTGATTCTGGCTGGGTGCTGACTCACCAGGTTGGAAGGGGTGGCCTGTGCCTGCAGGAGAGGAAGAGGAGAGCGGTGGACTGCAGAGCTCACCAGGGTTCTCCGGTAACCCTGATCTTCAAGAATGGGTCAGGTACCCTCCCCATCTGCCAGCTCCTGGTCTAGGGCATGGCCTCCATCAAAGAGGAGGCAGGGACATCCCATACTTCAGGGGCACCCTCATCTGTAAAGGGCATCTGTCCTCCACAGGAAGACCCCATGTCTTCTTTCTAGAGGGAAATGCATGCAGGTGTGATTTCCAGCTGTTGCTTTTGGTGGGCATGGGGCCGTCTTGGCCCCAAGGAACCTTCCTTCTTCTGGGACTTGTCTGCAGCTCCAGGGTCTTCTGGAGTTGCAGTGCAGTAGGGACTGGGGGACAGCTCACCTCTTCAGATTCCACCCTTGCAGGGCAGCTCAGCCTCACTTACAATGGGGTGCTTTCCTCCCTCCTAACCTCTTCCACGGGTGGAAACCGGACTTTACGGCCAAGTTGAGCCCCTTTCAAAATTTTGCCTAACACCACCATTAGGGACCCAGGACAGCCTTCACCCGAGAATGGCCCTGATACCTGGTATCTTGGGCTCTGGAAGCTCAACAGGTGACCTCGGGTACCTATCTTCGCCAGGAGAGCGTGGGCTGCGTTCCTGGTGGGTGAGCCCTCCCAGGTGTTTCCTGACACCGGCCCTTTCACAGTAACCCGGGAAGGTCCTGCCCCCCACAGCCTGGGTCCTCCCACTTCTCCAGGCCTGGCCGGTTCTTCTGGCAGCTCACTCCACCCACTCAGGGTTCAGGGCTAGCGGGCAAAGCAGCCTCTGAACAGTCATTGGCCAAGTCAGACACGCCTCCCTAGGCCCCGCCCCACTTCCCGCCCCAGAGGGCTTGAGCGGTTCCAATTGCTGTGCTTCTGTCCTGCCCTGGATCCTATCCTGGTCGGAAGGAGGCTGTAACTCTGACCGCTCAAGCACCACAGGGTGTCCATTTCAGGTTGGGGAGGGAAGACGAGGAGAAGGAGGACGAAGAGAGGAAGAAGGAGGGAGGCTGGCCCTGGGATCCAGATCCAGGAAAAAAGGGAAAGCAGAAGCCTGGGGAGGCGCAGAGATACCACACTTATCTGGGCAACTTTTGAGCACCGGATCTCTCTCCACAGACCAGGAGGTTTCTGGAACCTACAAATGCCTCCTTTCCCCCATGTCACTTTGCCTGCCCTGTCCCTATACTCCTGGAGAGACAGAGATGTCTGATACATAGTACTTTGGCCCTGACGGCGCCGCGAGGGAACCCTGGGAAGGCACGGTTCTGATCTAGTTTGATCCAAGCCCATTATTATACATGCGCATTCCTCTCTAGATAGGTTGATCATTGCTAGGAAACCAGATGCTCCTTCAACCTTTCAACCTTGAAGTCGAGTAGGGGTACAGACCTCAGCGACAAAATCAGCATCTCCTTTGCTGTGTGATCACTCAGCTTAGCAGATCAGAAACGGGAGGATTGTGACAGCGTGGGGCAAATATGGACGCCTAGGGAAGCTCAGTGAGAACATACCTCAAAACAGGCAGGTCTGTGGGAGTCCGAACCGACCGATCAGATCCAGGGCTCTGTTTCCAGGTGTGTGCAGTATATTTGGGGTAGATTCCAGTGCAAGATATAGGATGGAAGATGTGTTGGAAGTGTGGATCCCAGATCCTCTACCAAGAGGCTGCAGAAACCCACCACAGCTCTCTGAGGGTTAGAGGAGAAGACCCAGTCAGCCAAGGCTTCCAGGAAGGATGAGAGGATGGCTGATATGAAAGGAGAGGACTTGGGGATCAGGAAAAGGGAGGAATAGGTCCTGTCAGATCAGCCCCCTGATTAGGTTAATTCTTCCCCAATGGACATGTAACATTTTTTTGATTCTAGAGTCCTTGGGACAGAGCTTAGTGAGTGAATAAGTCTGCCCTGGGACAGCTGGGGAGAGGCCAAGGATCCTGTGCTGTTCATGATAAGCAAGAAGGGGCAGGCTACTCACCCACAAACAGAACTTGTAGTTTAGGGGAACAGGGATTGGAATGATCCTAGCTTTTGTACTTGTTCTAAACAGGCTCCAGAGGGGCGGGGCACTTCCTGGCTGTAAGGGAGTGTGGGAAAATTGCCCTTCTGGCTAGAGAGGAACAGGGAACCCTAGAATCTGGGATCTCCTTCTGAAGAGGAAGTAGCTTTCTCTAGGGGCCAGTATTACTCATGTGGCCGCTGTTCTGCCAGGGCCAACCCAGACAGCTGCAGGAAGGGCTGGTTCCTGTCTGGCGCAGGGCTGGGAGGCAGCTTTTCAGAAGAGGAGGTGACTACTCATCAGGGGCCTAAGGAAACACAGATATGGAGAAAGAGTGTAAGGCAGTGGGAACAGTGTGGCAGGGCTCAGAGGCAAGTGCAGGCAGCTGAGAACTCCCGATGAGGCTTGGACTTAAGGGGTCCAGTGGAGATAAGGGAAGAAATAGAGGGACAGAAACGAGGCCACATGTGCCTAGGAAGTCATTGTGATAGCTCTGTGCTGGGGTTCAGTACCCACCAGAGCTTCCCTGAGGACAGAGATGTCCTGGGCTTGCTGATGTGGCCCCGAAGCTGGAATCCCCCATAGCCACTGAGCACCTACTGTATTCAGGCTGTGTCTGTTTAAAGGGAGAGACTATCATTTATTTATTCTTTGGCAATTTCATACATGGATACGATGTATCTTGATCGTGTGCACCCCTAACTCTCTCTTCCCATTCTCCCTCTCATAACCTCCAACACATCTCTCTCTTTCATATTCTCTGTCCCCTTACTGAGTCCAGTTAGTGCCACCCTCTGGACTGTTGACTGATCCTGTTATCTTGATCTTGTGCAGGTAACCATGGCTGCAGAGTTTGTGCTCACATACTATGTCATGTCCCAAGGACAGCATTTCATAGCTTCCCTCCCCATCCTCTGGCTCTTACATCCTTTCTGTCCCCTACTCCTTGACGTCCCCCGAGTCTCAGAGGTCAGGTTGATACAGATGTCCCATCCAGAGCTGAGCTCTCAACAGTCACTTATTCTCAGCACTGTGAGTTACAAGTCTAATCAACTGCTGCTCACTACAAGAGAGGACTCTCTGGCTAAGATTAAGAACAGCATTGATTTATGCATATTAACAAACATTTAGAAGGCAGTTTGATAACATCCACTTAGCAAGACAGCAGTAGTAGACACTTTCCTAGGGCCTGTGACCACCCGAGCCATGCATGTGCTTTTGGCTAAGTTTACAGTACCAGGGATGAATTCATTCCAGTGGATCAGGTCCTAGCCAAGAGTGGTTGGTTACCCCCACAGCATTCAAGCCACCATGGGACATATTTTGTTTGGTGGGTTGGTATTGTAGCATGCAGGCTTTGCTGCTGGGTTAGACCATGGATGGTTTCTCTCTCCCTGTGGCCTGCAAATCAACTTCCAATACTATGAAAGCTAGCCAGCAGGGAGGAAGCTTAAAGGGCAGTTCCAGCTTCATTTCTCTATGTCCTATAATCAAAATATATTCAACAATGGGTCGGTGTCCTTTTATTGTGTGTATATTCATGTGTGTAAGTTCCTGTAAAGGCCAGTGATCAATATCAGGCGTCATTTCTTCCATAGCAGCCGTCCTGTCACCGGGACCACAGGGCTTGCCAGTCTCTGCCCACCTCCACAGCACTGGAGTATCAAGCTGTCTCCCGTAAAGCACTCCCTTCAGCCCTCTGCATCCTTTATTAGATTGTTTACAGTACATGTGTTGAGGGGGATAGATAACATCTCAACTGTGACCACGTGTGTGTTATTTACTTTTCTCTTGCTTCGATAAAGCACCATGAACAAGGCAAGGTGCAGAAGAAAGAGGCTATTTGGGTTTATGTTTCCAGAGGGGTAAGAGTCCATGGCAGCAGAGCAGAGGCATGGCAGTTGGAGCTGGCAGCTGAGAGTGCATATATTGAACTGTAAGTAGGAAGCAGAGGGAACAAACTTGGATGGGATAAGTCTTTAAACTTCCCAAGCCTGCCCCCATGACATACATCTCCAACAAGGTCACATCTCCTAAGCCTTCCTAAAACAGTATCATCAACTGGGAGCCAAGACTACTGGGTGGTATAGCTATGAATACTTGTTTTGGAATGGATTTTCATTTATTGATACAAAGTTAACGTCAATTTTGTGATGTGTATATTTCTCCTCTTGTTTAGGCATTGTGTTATATAGCTCATTTAATATAATGTATAATTTACCACAGATTATAGGTAATTACCTATGATAGTCAAAGCTTAGACTTAAGTGAGTTAGGTTTTCAAGATACACAGAGATGATTTTGAGATAGATAACTATTCTTCAAACCTTTCAAAGATCTACAGAATATGGCATTTAAAATGGTTTGGGTTTTTCTTGACAATGAGGCACAACTGCTCCTGGCAACACTATTGGGTCAGAAAGAAGATGAACATCAAAGAAACTCATTATGGAGTTTGCTTTCAATATGGCAAGACTAGCCATTTGGACAAGATACTGTTCTTGTCTGGACTGTTTGACTTCATGATGTATAAACTGGACATGCAGGACCCACAGAAAAGTGACTGCTGATTCAAGATGGACATTGCTGCAGAGTTCCTGCTTCATGGAAGAGTCTGCCAGACAGTCTGAAGGACACAGAGAAAAGTGACTGACAAACTGCCAATACAAGAAGACAGTTTAAAGTTTCCTGCTTTGCTGAAGAGTCTCCCAGACACACTATGGCCTATGGGCTGAAGATGGAAGATTACAAAAGAACTTCAAGTGACTGACCAGGCAATGAGTTGTGTCTGTCATTTCTAGAGTTTATATACTATCCTTCTGTGGTCTTTGAAGGAATTGAAGACAGATAGTTACGATTATAGATTTCCTTAGTTAGGATTAAAGATAAGTTACATATAGGACTTTAGACTCACAAAGATAGATGATGGAATATTTTCTTAAATCTTGCTAAATGTTAATAGACTAAATATTGTTAACTATGATTCTTATTTGATAACTGTTGTGTCATATATTTTGCTAAGTTAAGGTTAAAACCCTTCTTTTTATTTTAGACAGAAAAGAGGAGATGATGGGAGATGTCATTCTGTAAATATGTTTCTTATACTGGTTAATGAATAAAGCACTGTTGGCCAATAGGAAAGCAAGATAGGCGGGACTAGGAGACAAGGAAGAAAGAGGAAGTAGTAAGGAGGAGTCAAGATGGAGAGTCTGGAGAGAGCAGGATGCCAGCCAGCTCTCCGGTAAGATGAGACCACGTGGGACTACACAGATTAACAGAAATGGGTTAATACTTAAGACAGAGCTAGCCAATAAGAAACTAGTACCTGGCCAACAGCATTATATCAAATACAGAGTTTCAGTGTGTTAATTGGGGCTGGCTCGGCAGTGGGACAAGACCAGCGGTGGGCAGAAAAACCTTACTCCTTACAACTGGGGACATCTCATTTAAAGCACCACTTTGTGCCTCCCCTCAATAGGCTTTGTAGTCATATCATAGTGCAAAATGCACTTAGTCCAGCTTCGAAAGTCCCCACAGTCTCTCACTCTCAACACTGTTCTGAAGTCCAAAGTGTCTTCTGAGGCTCAAGTCCATCTCTTAGCTGTAACCCTCTGCAAAATTAAAAACAACTAAAACAACAAGAACAAAACAAATTACATACTTGCAACACACAATGACACAGAAAATACATTACTATTCCAAAAGGGAGGAATGGGGGCACAGTGAGGAAATGGTGGGAGTTTTGGGCCAAAGTGTGATCAAAACGCAGCAAGGTGAACTCCACAATGTGTAACTCCATGTCATGTCAGAGGGCTCAGCGAGCTCCACTTTTCTAGATTTGCTGCCCGCCACAGACTTTTCTCTCTTGGCTGGTTCTGCTCCCTGTACACAGTTCTCCCTGACAGATATACTATGTCTCTGGCACTCTCAACATCTTGGAGTCTTCAGCATAATCCAAACTTCATTTGCATAGTCTCACAAAATGGCCTCCTAGGAATTCTTGCCTTCTCAGGGCTTTCAGGCAGGGACTTTCCTGCCACACATTGCCTGGCTTTGGTGACTTTCTGAAACTTCGGAGAAAAAGGTTCCATGACCCCTTTTCTTTCATGACTTTAGAGCCAGAAAGCACACACACACACACACACACACACACACACACACACACACGGACATGGACACGGACACGGACAGCGTTGCAAAATATGGCTGCCAGCTTGAAGTAGACCCTTGCCTCTTTAAAGCACATTAGTGGCAGCTTTGATGGTAGTCATTTTCCAGGAGCAGAAAATGCTTATGTTTTCTTTCACAAACTGGAAGCATAGCTTTATCCTGGTGCATATCAGGCCTCTCGGTAATGGTGCTGATCTGCATGTAGCTTCTCTGCAGCACCAGCTTCATATGTAGCATCTATCTGGCCAGTGTCCTTTAACTCTTTAAAATGCACATTTTGTATTTCTTTCTGCCCTGCTTGCTCTTTTTCACTGTAGACCTGCATAAAAGTAATTACTAGTAAACACTCAATAGAGTTAATAGTAGGCTGTCTTGAGATCGCTTCTGTCAATGAAATTAGCCTATTAAACAGCCTCCGGCAAGCTCTTAGGACAAGGGCAGAAAGCAAATGTATTCTTTTGGCCAGACTATCTCAGAAACAGTCGATAGCCTATTTGCTAATATTATTCCCTTCTGAA